GATATAAACATTCAACAACTGGAACAATTGGCAACTTCGAACTTTGTGTAGCAACGTTTAAGTGGTGCAAATTAGATCCTTAGCAATACTGATATAAGAATTATTTTAATTTCTTTTTGTTTTCTTTTTTTTTTTTCGTTTTTCGTTTTTGTTTTGTTACCTGGTCAATGATTGTAGTCGGAAGTGGAAGCATACTAATAAAATCAACGACACTCAGTACACATATATATATTAATGTGGTATTATGACGAGCCCTAAAATTTAAAAAAGAAAATAAATAAAAGAATAACAAAAGAAGCATTAAATGATAGAGATGGTGAAGAATTTACTTCCCTGATTATCTTCACAACTTTGTTTCTGTCTCTCGATATTACTTTACAGTAAATTCTACTGTAGGCTTACACAACAGAAAGATAATTTAAAGGGTAGACGAGACAACAGAAAAAATTGTTTTTATTTATGGCTTATGCAGACATGATGTACATGTACAAATTTTTTTTGCTTATAAGATAAAGTTCCTTGTAGTGACAGGTGTAGAAAAGTTGAAATAAAACAAACCTGCAGTCACTGCCTCTAACGTGATGAACAACGGCCAATATTGCTGAGTTACCGCATGTTCCAAGGATAAATAATAGAGCATAAAAACCGGCAATCGCCATAATACTTTGGTTATCATAGTTGGAAAATGGTAAAACGTAGTTTGTCTGCAATACCTTTAATCAACCTCTCAACTACTCAATCAATAGAACAATAATTATTCTGGAATATCATTGCTTTTATTCTCTTTTCTCTTCTTCTCCTCTTTTATATTCATGAATGAGGTCAGGATTATACTACTGAACAGAGGTAGACACTTTTTCCTCACCCGCAGAGGACAGGGATTTCTTTCACAATTTTCCCGTTTTTCGTTTCCATTTCTTAACCTTTTCCTTGGTTTATCCTCAAAAGCAGCTCCGGAGAGAAAGTGATAAACAATAATACAGAAAAATAAATTGAAAGTGAAGTGAGAAGGCATCAGAGAAACTGTGACTGCGGTTAGCAGTTGTAAAAATTATAAAACATAGGGAGTTGCAGCCAGCTATGACACGCCTTGCCGCAAAACGATAGGCAGAACACCACAGTTTTCGGCAACTTTTGCTTGATGCTCTAAAATGTCGCCTGCTAATAAAGGGAATACCAAACATATTAGTTATCGTGCTTTTTTTCCCACTCTGCTCTAGTTTATCTCTTGAACTTATGCTAAAAATAGTCTGTTATAAGCTTTTTTTTACCCTTATTTTTATCCCTTTTTTTGCACTTTTCATCACTACTTATATTATGGACTATAAAGAAAAGAGCACAAAACGTTATCACATTGTTTATTAAACTCCACTGCATTTTATACCTCTGTTATCTCTTCTATTGACTTTGTTCAGTTTAATTTTGGATAGATCAACTAATCTAGGTTCAACGATGCATATCTAGCAGTGATTTTGCATGTTGATAAAAGAGTGAAAAAAATTTAATTTAGGAAAGGTGATGGCTTCCAATTGCTTGAAAAGAAGTGACGAAGAGTGAAGGGTAAAAAAACTGCGTTGATAGTTAAAGTAATTTTTAACTTTCAAAACCTAAGGGCCTCATGTCTGTTAAAGCGTAAAGAATTAGCCACTGCAAAACTTTCAATAGCAGCCAAGCCAGGCAGTGTAGTTCAAGCTTACAAAACTGTATTGTTCAATTTTTGATGTGGAGGTCAGATAACGGTAAAATATTGACCACTAAAAAGTTTTAGTCCTACTTTTTACCAAAAAATTAGGAAAATATCTTTTTTCTGCAAGGAAAGGTTTTCCGACCGAATGCAGTGTAATTGACTTTTCCCCATTTTTCCTCATTTTTCCACTCTCCTGATCTATTTAAGATTTGTCCCCGTTGATAGTTCTTTTCCAAAATGTATCCATAAAAAGTAAAAAATTTTCTTTGTCTAAAAATCTAACCGGATTACAGAACATAGTAAGAGGAAAAAAAAAGTAAGAAAAAAACTGGTGATAAACACTAATTATTTATTTTTAACTCGATTTCCATTTTTTTATTCAAAATCTGTATATCGAAAAAGAATTTGCTAAAATTGTTGTTTTCTTCCTATTTTTTCTACCAATTTTTTTTCTTTAAAATGTCACTACTTCCCACTAAATACAAAAAAATTTTGCAAAAATTAACAGGATTTATTTTTTTACTTTTCAGTTTTTTGTTTTTCTTTAAGTATCTTCAAGTTGTGCGGAAAAAAGTAGAATTAGTGATACCAAATCAGTTCTTCATCTTCAAAAGTCAATTTGTGAATATCAGCATCAAATAAGAACAACAGTCAGAAAAAAACCGTAAAAAGTTACCTGGTTATTTAAATTGTCACTGGAATTTTCAGTATAATAATCCTCCATTTTAAGCAATCTTAAAGTGTTTGGTTAAGACTAGATATGTAATATCTGTATAGTGTTGGGTATCTGTATGTACCACAAATATCGTTAAGTCAGTTCCAGTAATAACATCTGTACAAAATTTTGATCATTAAACTAACGAATAATAGTGACTGCAGAACAGCAATAACAGCAACAGTAATAACGATGATAAACGAACAAACAACAAATATTAACAAAACCAATATACGTATAAAGTATTAAAATAAGTTTTTTTTTCCTTTGATAAAACCGTATAAATAACATACATTTAAATAGTAATCACGCATATAGTGTTATAAAAAAAACAAAAAACAAAAAAAACCTTTCGTTTCTTAAAGACAAATGTTAAATTGAGTGAAACAAACAAATTAGTAAACAAAAATAACGAAAAAAGAAAAGAGATTGTCGTAGAAACTTTCACGTTATTAAAATCTTCATTCATTTATTCATACAGTTATTTTATTTGTTTTTCTCCTTTTTTTTTGCTACTGTTTGTTGTTTTGTTATTCTTAGTAATTTTTACCTCAAAACTTTAAGCACAACAAAGTGAGCATCAGAGGGATCGTCATTATTATCACGGTAAACCGAGAGCTTTTCCCCGTCCCCTCTCCTTCCCTCCCTTCCTTCTGACCTCTCTCCGTCCTTTGTCATAACCAACAGATATCCTTTCAGTTTCCCAGGCAACCAACCCAGCAGATACTTTAATTCATTTAAATTTGTTTTTTTTTCTAAGTTCTCTAAAATTGCCATCATTACCATAATCACCACACTCATCATCCTCATCAATCTCATCCGCTTCGGCCCCGCTTCGGCCCCCCCATCGCCTTCTTCGTCTTCCTATTCTTCTCAGCTTCAGCGACTTCTGTCTCCTTTTCTACCTCATTCAAAACTTTCAAACTATACAAATAAAAAAAAAAGCATATCACAAGTCAAAAGATACAGCAGCTAAAGAAGCAGGTATTTGTGACAGCGAAATGAACGTCGGTAAACAACAACTTTAGTTAGCATACAGCAACACCGATATCTCCTTGTCAGGTTGACATCATTTCAAAGTCAAAGACAACAATTGAAAAAGATATACCATTTTTCTGTCAATTGTAATTAATACATCTATAACAAAATAATCAAGAATAACTTTTCATAAAAAAGAATTGAAAAAATCAGTAAATTTTTCAATTTTCAAATTATGAATAACACTTAAAAATAGCTTTCTAGAAAATTATTGAGTAGTAAAAACGCAAACCCGAGAAGTCGTTCAAAAGAAAACTTTTTTTGGATGTTCTTTAGTTCATAAAGTCAAAGAAAAAACTCTTCACTTTCATCCCAATGACCAGGGTGATTACGACTTAAAAACAACTAAACAATTCAATAATATTGAAAAGTTAGAAAACTATATCCAGTGAAAAGAATTCTTAGTTAAAAATAGATACTTCTTCTTTTCGCTGTGAGAAAAAAAGCACTTTTTTTCAAAATAAGTGCACTGATCGTAAATTTCAATTTTTGACATTTTTTTTTGAACGAAAACAAATGGGAAATGACTTTAACGACTACAAAAGCCGAAAAGCATTAAGCAACACTTAACAAATGCTACTAAAGCACCTTTTTTTGGCTAATTCGAATGCCTATCATAGTATTTCTTTCATCTGTCTGTTTCTGTATCCCATTTTCATGTTCTTTATCCATCTGTTTGCACTTCTTCATAATCAAACTTTTTCCTCTAAATTTCATATTTAAAACTAAAAATTTAGATTTTTAGAAGCCTTTTCAAATTATTGGCAACAGCAAATGACAAATGCTTAACAAACTGACAAAGACCAAAAAATTTGTGAAAACATAAAAAAAATGAGAAGTTGTCAAGCTCTTCGCTGCAACTTCCGCTTCATTAATCTATTTATCGACAGTATTGTCATCGTCATCAACAGTATTATCATCGTTATTATTATTATTATTATTATTATTATTATTATTATCAAAACAGGATCCCTGAGTATCCGTCCGGCAATAAACTTGTTCATTTATTTTAATTTTGATTTTACTGTCTTTTTTTCAAACTATGGCTGAATAAAAAAAATTGCAATTTTGAGAAGGTGAAAAAAGATTTTCTTAAATCTGTGCCAACAGTTTTGCTTCATTCTCCTCTTTGTTTTTGTTTATGTTTTTGTTTTCATTTTTGTTTTTGTTGTTGCTGTCGGCGTCATCGTTCCACTTTTCGTCATTATCGTTTCGTCGTCTTCTACTTCTTTATACTCTGTTTCCGCCTACTTAATCAAGCAACCACCAAGTAGACAGAGATCCAAATGTACTAAAAAATTTTTCCGTTTTAATCAATATGCAGTCATTGTTCTAAGCTTGAAAAAATTTCAAACATCACCGATTGCGGTAACGAACGCGGTTGATCGTCATTGTTATCTGCTTCGTCCACCTCATCAAACAACAGTGATGCTTTTCAATAATTGACAATTAATTTCCGCAAGAAAATAAGTTCGCTAAAAACAGTAAACTGGTACGTTTTTTTATTTTTTTGTAAATTGGACACATATTATTACCTAATTAATTTATCTGTTCTCTTCCTGTTTCCTTCTCTTAACCGTCAATTTTCCTGTAATACAAAAGCAACAAACAGAAAAAGAATCTGTTGAAATCAATTCATAAACAAGTCTTATAAATGATAAATAAATTAATAGAGATAGTCAATGCTAAATTGATGATGATAGTGCAACAAATTCCTTCCTTCTCGTTAACGGCAGCAGTTAGCCGGTAATTAATTATATATGTGTATACATAAACGTATTTTTTCTTACTCCCACTCCTCTTTCTTTCCTCCTTCTTCTGATCATTGTAACTGGCATCATTTTTTCGCTGCACTTACTCTTCCCATATCCTTTCCATCTCAGTTCCCATTCGCACAGCTTTTGTGCCAACAGGATCTTTTATTCAAGAAAATAAAAATAAAATAAAATAAAATAAAAGTGACATTTAAAAATTGATAATTAAATATTTTAAAAATTAAGCCAAAAACGTAACAACAACAACAACAACAATGGGTAAAATTTGGTCAACAAATTATAATACTTTTTTTTTCAGCATTATATTGTTTATACTTTTTTTCTTCAATAACTTATTTTTCAAAAAACTTTGTTTAGTCATCATTATAGCTGCAAAAGACCATTGAAAAAAAAAGCAAAATCAAAAACTTAATATTAAAACTAGAAATAAAAACAAAAAACCCT